AGCCCACAGCTAACATATTCAATGGTGAAAAGCTGAGAGCTTTTCCTCTAATATCACAAAGAAGATAAGGATGCCCACTTTTGCCACATCTATTCAACATAGTACTTGAAGTCATAACCAGAGCAAGTAGGCAAGAAAAAGATATAAAAGGTATTCAAGTTTGAAAGGAAAAAGTAAAATGATCTCTGTTAGCATAAGATATGATCTTATATATAGAAATTCCTAAAAATTCCACACACGAAAATGTTAGAACTAAGAAATGAATTAAGTGTAGTTGCAGAATACAAAATCAAGATACACAAATCAGTTGAAGTTCTATACACTATCAACGAACTATCAAAAGGAACTATGAAAAAAAGAAATTAAGAAAAAAATCCCATTCACAATAGTATAAAAAAGAATAAAACAATTACGAATAAATTTAAACAAGTAGGTAAAAGATCTGTAAACTGAAAATTATTAAACATTGATGAAAGAAATTGAAGAAGACAGAAAGAAGTGGAAAGATATCCTGTGTTTATGGAACGGAAGAATTAATATTATTAAAATGTCCATACTACCCAAAGCAATCGACAGATTTAATGCCATCCCTTTCAAAAATCCCAATGGCATTTTTCACAGAAATACAGAAAACAATGCTAAAATTCATATGGATTCACAAAGATCCTGAATAGGTAAAGCAACTTGATCAACAGGAGCAAAGCTGTAAACGTTAAACTTCCTGACTTCAAGCTATATTACAAAGCTACAGTAACCAAAACAGTATGGTATTGGCATAATAACAGACAAATAGATCAATGGAAAAGAATAGAGAGCCCAGAAATAAACCTACACATATATGATGAACTAATTTTCAACAAAGGCACCAAGAATATACAATAGGGAAAGGATAGTCTCTTCAACAAATGGTGCTGGGCAAACTGGATATCCACATGCAAAAGAATGAAATTGGACCCCTATCATACGCCACTCACAAAAATTAACTCAAAATGAATTAAACACTTAAATGTAAGAACTGAAACCATAAAAGTCCTAGAAGAAAATGTAGAGGGAAAGCTCCTTGACAGTTGGTCTTAGCAATGATTTTTTGGATCTGACACTCAAAGCACAGGCAAAAAACCCAAAAATAAACAAGTGGGACAGCATCAAACTAAAAAGTTTCTATACAACAAAGGAAACAATCAACAAAATGAAAATTTACCCCATGGAATGGGAGAAAATGTTTGCAAACCATATATCTGATTTAGAGTTAATGCCCAAATATATAGAGAACTCTTACCAATCAATAGCAAAAATCAAATAACCTGATTGAAATAATGGGCCAAGGACTTGAATAGGCACTTTTTCCAAAGAAGACATACAAATGGCCAACAGGTATATGAAAGGATGCTCAATGTCACTAATCATCAGAGAAATTAAAATCAAAATTATGATGACATATCACCTCACACTTCTTAGGGTAAATATTATCAAAAGTCAAAATGTAACAAGTCTTGGCAAGGATGCAGAGAAAAGAAAACTCTTGTGCACTGTTCTTGGGAATGTAAATTGATACTGCCATTATGGAAAACAGTATGGAGGTCCCTCAAAAAATTAAAAATAGAACTACCATTTGATCCAATAATCCCACTTCTGGGTATGTATCCAAAAGAGATAAAATCAATATCTCTATGAAATATCTGCACTCCCATGTTCATGGTAACATTATTCATAATAGCCCAAAATGGAAACAACCTAAATGTTCATCAATGGATAAATGGATAAGGATAAGGTGGTGTATATATGTGTGTGTGTATAATGAAATAGTATTCAGTCATAAGAAAGAAGGAAATCCTTCCTTTGGCCACAACATGGATGAATCTTGAGGACATTTTTGCTAAGTGAATTAAGCCAGGCACAGAAAGACAAATATTGCATGATTTCACTTATATGTGGAGTATATGTGGACTATGGAATATATACATAGGAATATATATATATATAATAGTAATAGAGAGTAGAATAGTGGTTGCCTAAAGCTGGGCTGTGGGGTGAAAAGAGAGATAAAATAATAATATCAATAAAGAATGTAGAATTGTGCTTGCCAGGGGCTGGGGAGAGTAATTCTTGGCGGGGGTTGAGGGGAGGGTTATTGTTTAATGGGTACAGAGTTTTAGTTTTTCAAGATGAAAGAGTCCTGGAGATGGATGGTGGTGTTGGTTGCACAGCAATATGAGTATATATAATACTACTGAACTGCACAGTTAATATAGTAAGTTTTATGTTACGTGTATTTTACCACAATAAAACTAATAAAAAATAAAGGAATATAACATTAGCCAATAAGCATGTGAAAGATGCTCAACATCGCTAGCCATCAGGGAAATGTAAATTAAAACCATTATGAGATACCACAACATACCTGCTATAATGGCTAATGTTTAAAGAATGAAAATGCCAAGTACCATGGAGGATTTGGAGTAACTGGAACTTTCATAAATTATTAGTGACAATGTAAAATGGTACAGCAACTTTGAACACAATGTTACTTATTTTGTGAAGTTTATCCCACATTTACCATATGAACAGCAAGCTGGCTTCTAACGAGAAATGAAAACAGGTCACATGAAAAGTCTTAATCACAAATATTTATAACACCATTACTCATGAAAACCCCAAACTGGAAAGAACCCATAAATATATTAATTGGTGGATGGATAAACAAATTTTGATGTATCCATGCCGTAGAATACTACTAAGCAATAGTGAGAAATGAAATATTTATACAAGCATTGACATAGAAAAATATTAAAAACACTGTGCTAAATGGAAGAAATCAAACAGGAAAAATTACAGAAAAATGAAAACTACGGTGATATAAAGTAGATACAAATTTAGGGTCTGGAGAGGGGTTGAACTGCAGAGACGAAAGACGTTTTAGGTTGATGAAACTGTTCCATATCTTGATTGTGGTTGGAATTATATTAACTGTAAAAATTACCCAACTCCATCAAGATATGCACTTAAAATGAGGGAATTGTAAATTGCAATGTAAAGTATACCTCAGTAAAGGTATTATTGACCTATAATTTATGAGTGTATTGCAAATGTTATGATCTTTCCAGGTATGAAGTATTTGAGTATTTATGTTACCACGATATATAAAGCATGGTAAAATATTTCAAGAGAGAAAAATCTCTTATTATTTAAATTGCAGTCTTCTCAGATTTTCCATATCATATATGTGCTTGAAATCCAAAATTAAAATGGTATAAGTGAAAGTTATACTACAAGTTAAATAATCCTCTCAACTCAATAACTTTTAAAAAATACTTAATACTCATTTAATGAATCAATAGTACAAAACTGTACATTCATGTTTTATCATAAACTCTAAAGAGCCAATTTCAAAATTAGATGCATGATTTATTTTATTCAAGTCATTTCCTGGGAGATTAAGTGCAAGAATATTGTGAACAACATAAATCAATATTAAATCTATAAAGACATTAAAGTCCTAAAAATAAAACCCATTAAAACCAAAATAAAACTTAAAGTATCTATAAATTATTCATAGTGAATCAAGATAAAAATAATATAATACATAATTTTAGATTTTGTGTATATGTGAATATGTATGTAGAGTATATATCAGAGATGAGTCAGTATGTCTATATTCCCTTAAGCTCATCTTTAAGTATGGCTCTCATGTTCCTATTAGCATACTTAAATTATACCCATTAAAAATCGTCGTTTGGCATAGTCGACTTAATAATCTCTTTTTGTTTCTTCCCACTTTCCCATACATCCTTTTAAACCAAACCTTTAACTCCTTCTACTTAAAACTTTTAGTGCAAATCAAAGCACCCCAGTCCAAGAGAGGCGTTAACCTATGTATGGTAAGAGTTAACATTAGTTTAGATTCCTATTTTCTTCTAATTTATCATGGATGCTCTCTATTCAGCATATTTTCTCGCTCTGGCAAGAACTCTGACAAAGGAATAGGGTGGGAAAGTTGGAGAACTTCCTGGTTTACTGGTTTGAAGTGTGAGATCCTAGAATGGATTCTTTTTCTAATGTAAAAAACATTGGAATTCTTCACAGATAATTCCAGGTATGCTAGAGCTAACTTTCAGTGTGTATGTGCGCAGCAATTGAGAGGATTTAGCTGTTATTGAACTTATCCCATAAAGAAGGGCAATATCATTATCCTTGAAAATTTTTCAATGGAGAAACTGGCATCAAAAGAAATTGATTACTCAGAACTTCCCAATCAGAGGCGGTGTTCTACTCATGCAGTACCAAAATTCCATTCAGATTATGTACATTATTATGTTATGTTATACTATGTAGACTATTTATGTCAATCTGTAATCATTATAGCCAGAGTAAACATACTAACAGTGTAATTGAAAAGAAAAATCAACACAAACATGAAAGTATCCACGAGTAAATGAAAAGTCATCAAAAAGAAGTTCCTCAGAGAGCAAACTGCTTCATAACTGTGCTGTTCAATTGATAGCAAATTGGAAAGAACGCGTAAATATATTAATTGGTGGATGGATAAACAAATTATGATATATCCATGCCTTAGAATACTACTAAGCAATAGTGAGAAATGAAATATTTATACAAGCATTATACTGGCATATATACAAGCATATACTGGCATAGAGCAGTGCTCACCACCATCTGATTTTATTCCATACACTGGGTTCAACTTGAATTATATTTCCCAATGATTTAAGAAAATACTACTCTTAAACATTATATAATATTAAAATATTCTGCATGGTAGTCTTGACATAGTTAATTTTTTATCTCCTTTGCCCATATTTTTTCCTGCCTAATGCCCTCTGGGGTGAAGGGGCTGCTAAAGACCAGAGTTGAGAAGATTTCCAAAACTTACAAATAAACTCCTGTAATTATGTTATCTGACATCACGTAATTTTCAACTACATCAAATAACTATATGTTTTTATAATTTTTTATTTAAAAAATCATGATCCCTCAACTTGGGTTTTAAAATTTTGTCATGTTTTATTATAACGAAACTTACGTTCTATGATGCCATTGTTCCTGATGTAGTTTAATAATGGAAACCTATCCATCTAGGGGCAAAAACATGAGAGGCATTGTGGGGACTTACTAAACCATCTCTGTAAGCTCTTCCTCCTGGAAAGGCGCCTCACTCACTGCCTTCTGCTGCATTCGTCTAGGTTTAGTGGAAAGAAGAGAATAGTGAATTAACTTTCAAAGTATCCAAAAGTAGACAGATACAGAAAATAGTTTTTCTTTGAAATTTTGTAATTATAGTTGTTTCCTTAACAGCTGTTAATGTATTTTTGAATGGAAATGATTTTGTTACTTATTTAATAGGAATACTTATATATGAAAAAATGACATTTGAATAATACAATATGCTTTACTATGGCTGTTGGCGACACCTGCTACTTTGAGGTTTTAGACATGAATCTGATTTCCAGAGTTTTAGAGGTAGGACTGAATGAAGTAGGTTTAGTGAATATCACTCTATAAAGGGAAGCTCCCTTTTGACTGCTTAACAAATTACAGAGGAAAAGCTAGGCTGTGAAAAAAAAAAAAAGACAATTTCTAAAAAACAGTGTTACAAGCATAAATTGTATAGTCTTCTATATTAGTCATTATTCTTGCTGTTATACATCTTTGATATGTGAATTAAGACCTGGAGCTCTTCAAGAAACCTCATAAATATGCTAATACTATAATTAAGAACAGATAGCATTACAAATGCAAATTTTCATCTTGTAATTTTAAAAGTCCTGTTTCGTTTTTTAACTTTTATAACAATACTGTTTTTGAAAAACTAATATCCTTTAATTTCAAGAAAATGTGCTCTCTGGACATGTAGATATAAAGTTCTCCGTATTTTAACTGACATAATCTTGATGTAAAAGTAATTCTTGTTTTCTTGTACAGCTTGACCTTTAGTAAAATTAAACTGTTTTATGACTTTCTGTTTAGAACGTTAAGATATACATCTATAGATGCTACTGCAGTTTATTCACTAAACACATACAAGTAAAAATGCTAGGTTCTTTGCTAGTTGCTAGGAATGTAGCACCAAACGTCGTAATGCCTGACTTCAAGTATATTGAAGTCAAGTGGACAGAAAAGACAGGTGAGCCGGTTCTCACCGTGCACTGTGGCTAACTGGAATTAGGAAAGTGGAATTAGGAAAGAACGAGAGTCAGGATGTATTGATTTCCATGGTAGTTCCACTGCTTATTGCCTAGGTAACCTGTAAACATTTATTTCCTCATCTATAAAATGAATTTAATGACAATACCTATTTTATGGGATTATTCTAAGGATTAAATAAATTAGTGTATGAAAAGCAGTTAGCACAGTGCCTGGGCAATAGTAAGCACTTTATAAATGTTAGCTCTTTTTAGGAGTATTGTGGTAGAAATACGTGATAGAGACAACAGGAGTACAATTGAGGGCCACTAAGACGACAGGATCCAGAACTGCCAGTGAATGAATCATTTCGACAGGAGCCACCCAAGAAGAAGGTGTTAGGAGGAGGAAATGGTTTGTGCCAAACGAGATACAGAGCTTGAGAATGTTTGGCAAAATTGGAAACTGCTAATACTGCGGTGTCGATTCTGTGTGTAGAAAGAGAGGCAATGGCCAAAGTTTGAAGATCATTATGTGCTATGTCAAGGAAGTCAGGCTCCAAGCTAGAAAGTGATAGAAAAACACTGAGGAAATTTAAGCATGGGAATGAAGGATTGTGAAGAGGGGAATTACAGAAACCTCTTTCAGTTTTAAAAAGAGCGTTTTGTCAGCTGGGTGAAGGGTGACCACAGGGTTATGAAATTGAAGGCAGGGAGCCCAGTTAAGTTTTTGCATTAAACTAGGGGGAAAGTTATAAATGCCTTCATGAAGGCATTTACTTCCTCTAAAAGGAATTAAACTATTAAATTTGTATAGACAATATTCGAGGATTTATAATCAGAGTAATTTATGTAATATTTATGCAGAATTGGCTGGTATGTTTATTCCTCATGTTTTTATCCAGAAGTAGTTTTTATTCTATCTTTTAAAAATCACTCATTTTCTGCTTGACCATACTTTTTGAAATATTGCTTTATCAAGAACGGTACACATTATTATATCAATAAGCAGGGTGTTCATTATCTGTTGGAAGTTTTCTTCTTATCTGGAATAAATTATCATAGTTGATCTTATCCAATAATAGCTAATTTAAGCCCCAGTTTGCTTTTATTTCTTTTAAAAATGAATAAATACAAACCTAATGAGATCTTGAATTGCTTGCCTGAAACATAGCTTAGTTGTTGCTGAGGCATGACTGGTTGAGTAACTTCCAGTATGCAGCTACGCTTTTATGCCAGGATTTTGAAGGACTATAATCCAGATGGTAGTTTGAAGAACCTCGCCTTGGCTTTCAGTTTGTCAGATAAACTTGATAATTTTAGCAATCCCTTTATATTTTCATTTTTATTTATCTCAAGTATTATATCAGAGTTTATTTATGGCAAGCTGACATTTTGCACAAACACACCAATTTGTCCTTCATAATAAGAACATTTTTTTGTCCCTTACTACAAATTCTGACATTTTGTGGAAAATATCAAGCTATTAATCTAATCTATTCAAATACACTGAATGCAACTTTTTTCATTGAATCATAAAATTCACAATATTGATCATTATTATTAATTAATGAAAAATGTAGCATATCTTAAATTCAGGTTTTAGATTTTGGACATGTTTTCACTATGAATTTGCATTTAAGCTCAAATGGACAAAATATATTATCATCACTGTTACTATAGTTTCACATAAGTCAGTTTTTAGCATGTCACTGTGAGTTATTTGGAGGGCTCTATAAAAACATAGGGAAAATGAGAATATTATGAAAATTTACTATTAATTGGTCTCTTCATTTTGATTAATTTTCTTTGAATAATCATTGGATAACTTGAATAAAATTATTACAGAAAAGAGAATTCCATGGGTGCATTCATGCTGGCTGAAGTTTTAAAACTAATTTTAAGTGCAACTTGAGTAAACTTTTGATGCTTTTCATGGGAATGACCACAGAACCAAAGTGAAACATATTATCTGTAAAGGGCCATGTTCTAGCCTTTTCAGCCAGTGGAATTCTTTCTAATTAGACAGTTGTAGATTTTAGGGTCAGAAATGTTCCACATCCTCTGGAGACACACTCACAGGGAAACTACAAATTTAGGGTGTTTGTGTTATTATTGATTTGTCTTACTGTCTCAGTGTTTTCTAAATAAAACTGGCTAAATAATCACTCTTTGAAGGCAATCTCATTTATTTTTTCATAGGTTAAAAAAATATTTCAGGTAATGCCACCTATTTTAAACCAGAAGATTGTGGTCTGATTTAATTCACCTTCTGCAAGAAATTCCTAGAAGTCAACATAGTTTAAAATGTCTGTGCTAGGTACTGGAACAGTGCCATGAACAATATGAACAAGGCCACTCTTCTCAAGGAGCTTACATTTTAGTGGGGAAAGGCATTTGAACTAATAATCAACCAAAAAGTAAGATGATTTCAGACTGAAGTATAAAAGAAATAGGTTCATGCAAGAGTCTAGAGTAAAGGAAAGGCAGATACTGTAGATAAGAGTCTAGAGAAGTGTGATATTTGAGGTGACAGCTAGATGATAAGGAGCCGGCTACGTGAAGACCAATTGCCCAACATTACACGGAATGGTTCTCCCTTTGTCTGTACTTACTCCTTTCTCTATGAGTCATCCAGTTTCATGGACTTGCTAGATGCTGTTCTAGGTAGAGAAAAACTGAGAACAGCCAGATACGTATGAACCTAATGTTATGCTTCATTTCTTTCTGCTACTCCTATCTTTTACCCCTGGCTATTCTCAGCAGTTCTGCCAATTTTTAGATACCAAGGAGTGATTTCTTGTCCCACATATGCTAATAATAGAAAATAGGATACTTTTTGTGTTTCTTTTCCCCCTTATCACTTATCAAGTTTTAACACACTATATAACTTATTATTGTTACTACAGTTTTTGTCTGCCCCCACACCACTAAGAATTTTGTAATTTTTTTTCACTGATGTATCCAAGAACCTGAGATGGTACCCAGAATGTAGTAGATGTTCAGTGAAATATCAGATGAATAAATGGCACCCCATAAGAGGGAATCTTGAGATGGAATCTGCTGGAGTTAGTGTCTGCTTGGTCTTGATCACCAATGCTACCAAATCATCCTTGGATTTGCCTTCCATTTCCGGAATCAGTTCAATCCTTTTAAGCCTGGGCCTGACAATGGACCGTCTGATACAGTATTTTCCACAGACTATGTCCCGTGAAACTTCCTATAGAAAGTTGCAGGGGAGAAACATTTTGAACGATTTGTTTAACATGCTGTAGTGCTGACTCTCCTTTTGAACAGCCAACATTGAATGCTGTTCAACCTAAGGCTCTCACCCCAGCATGGTATACTAATACGTACAGAGACTGCTTGTGCCATGTCTGCATTTACTCTTGAGCACAATTATGTTAATGGATTACTCTGGGGTGTCCCTTGCTTCTGTTTTTAAGGCAGTTTGTATATCAGATGCAATTTTGGACAGAGACACCCCCCCCCCACCCCCATCAATTGTATCCTACCATTATACTCATTGTGAAACAGAGGAGAGTGTTACCTGTAATGAAAGTTGGTCAAGGTCTTTAATCAGTACTTTACTTCATGTTCAAGCATTACATTGCAACTTAATTTGTGATAAACTGTAGTTGTTGTTTTCGACAATTCAGAAAATAGTGTTAATTTGGGGAGGTCTAGGCGTCCAATCACCCCTTAGCAGTGGTAGCTCAGCTTATCCTCTAAATACCAGTTGGAATCAAAATATCATTCATGATATCTCTTGTGAAAGCTTTTTTTTTTTTTTTCCCCGCTGAGGAATACTAACCCTGAGCCAACATCTATTGTCAATCTTCCTCTTTTTTTGCTTGAGGAAGACTAGCCCTGAGCTACATCTATGCCAGTCTTCTTCCACTTTATATGTGGGTTGCTGCCACAGCATGGCTGACAGGTGCTGTAAATCTGTGTCCTGGATCTGAAGCCATCACTGTGGGCCACTGAAGTGGAGTGTGCTAAACGTAACCACTACACCACGGAGCTGCCCCTTGTGAAAACGTTTTTCTTTTCTTTT